CCCCCCCCCACAGAGTCTGATCACCGCTCACGACCAGTTCAAGGCCACTCTGCCCGAGGCCGACAAGGAGCGCATGGCCACCATGGGCATCCACAACGAGATCCTGAAGATCGCCCAGACCTACGGCATCAAGCTGTCCGGAATCAACCCCTACACCAACCTCACCCCCCCGGACATCAGCACTAAGTGGGACACTGTGAGTCGAATCCAACGCACCCAAAAACAGTCGTGTGGGATTCAAGAGGACAGGAAATGACTGATTAAAATGAGTGATTTAGAGCACTTCTAATAAACAGCAGTCACAGAGCGACCGGTCAGAACGAGCTACAGCACTGAGGTCACCCCGAGTTCTCACGATCTGTCGGTGCAGCTGCAGCTCGACTCACATCTGAGCTGAGGAGACGTTTCTGTGGCAGCCATGAAATGACCAGTTGGTTTATTACTCAACAAGCTGACGTCACTGAATAAACGTTAACTAGACGTCACCCAAAGGAACGTTTCTGTCCTCTGGTGTGTAACTGACCTCTAACTCCTGGATGTGTCCGCAGGTGAAGCACCTCGTGCCCCTCAGAGACCAAATGCTCCAGGAGGAGGTGGCCAGACAACAGGCCAACGAGAGACTGAGGCGCCAGTTTGCTGCCCAGGCCAACATCATCGGACCCTGGATTCAAACCAAGATGGAGGTACAGCGTTTCTGTAGCGGTAGAAACTGAAGGAAGGAACTTTCATTTTCAGACGGGACACTGGTGCACGTGGAACACTGAGTAGATTAAATATTAAAAGAAATGTTTTCAAAGCTTATCTCAGTTATCAAAGTTAATTTCAGTGCTTGTTATTTAACTCTGGCTCCTGAGGAGTCTTGACGTCAGTGACTGGACGTGTGAACAATACGTACACACACACACACCTGCTGACAGTGTACATATACCAGCAGCACTCATTTGGTTTTCTCCACCTGCAGGAGATCAGCCACGTGTCCGTGGACATCGCCGGCTCCCTGGAGGAACAGATGAACAGCCTGAAGCAGTACGAGCAGAACATCATCAACTACAAATCCAACATCGACAAGCTGGAGGGCGACCACCAGCTCAGCCAGGAGTCCCTCATCTTCGACAACAAGCACACCAACTACACCATGGAGGTGCGGCTCGCTCCAGCTCAGACGTCACGTTTTCCTCCTGCTCTCTTTTGTATTTGTTCATTCATCCATCTTCCCTCCGACCCTGCAGCACATCCGCGTGGGCTGGGAGCAGCTGCTCACCACCATCGCCAGAACCATCAACGAGGTGGAGAACCAGATCCTGACCCGCGACGCCAAGGGCATCAGCCAGGAGCAGCTCAACGAGTTCAGAGCCTCCTTCAACCACTTCGACAGGGTGAGGCGTTCGCTGCCCGCGGGACGAAATGATCAATCGCACAGAAATCACAGGATGGAGCTCAAGTCCCTTCGAACTTGTGTTTATTAGACTGTTCAATTCAAACTGTTCTTCCAGCAGCGATGAAAGATTCAAGACAGCAGAGATAAAACATCAGGACTCTTTGTTTATTTCTTTTTCCTTTGCAGAAGAGAAACGGGATGATGGACCCAGACGACTTCCGCGCCTGCCTCATCTCCATGGGCTACGATCTGGTTAGTCCTCTTTAATGACTCATATAAACTTCACGTGTTGAATATTAGTCATTGAGGTAAATGTTTAGAGTTTGTGGGTGTGGAAGTAAAACTGGGATCTTTTCCTCCGACAGGGTGAGGTGGAGTTTGCTCGCATCATGACCCTGGTGGACCCCAACAACACGGGCGTGGTGACCTTCCAGGCCTTCATCGACTTCATGACCCGCGAGACCGCTGAGACAGACACCGCAGAACAGGTCATGGCCTCCTTCAAGATTCTGGCCTCAGACAAGGTAAGACGCCGATGACAGGATCCTGTTTTCATAATGAGATCCAGACGTTAAGTGAAGTCGTACCAACTCTTCAGTTCATTGACTGATCATCACTGCGTTACAATTCCCTCCTCTTCCTCTTTCCTCCAGAACTACATCACAGTGGACGAGCTGCGCAGGGAGCTGCCTCCCGAGCAGGCCGAGTACTGTATCAGCCGCATGACCAGGTACATCGGAGTCGACAGCCCGACCGGCGCCCTGGACTACATCTCCTTCTCCAGTGCCCTCTACGGAGAGAGCGACTTATAAAAACGCAGCCGCTTTCCCTTCACCTCCTCTCATCCCTTCTTCCCAGCTTCCCCCTATTTCTCCTGTTCGGAGAGAGCAATTTTAAAACCCTTCCACTGTCCTCCTACATTTGTTCTTATCATCTTTTCCTCTTTCAAATCTTAACCTCTACTCATCCTCCTCTACACAGCCTGAGCGGGTGAGAGTAGCAGACTCTGCTCAAATGTGGGCGGTCCCTCTTCTTTCGAAACCTTTAACAAACACACGGGTGCCAGGTATTGCACTGAACTTATGTAAGGAGCGTACGGAGGAGAAGTTAAACACAAGGCGGTGACGAGGGAGAAAGATAAAGAATCGTATGTTGAGCAGAGCCTCCTGCTCTCCACCCCTCTCTCTCTCAGATGACATATTTTTTGTAGAAGGGTAATTAAAGAAGAAAATGTGATAAAAAGCTGGTTGGTCAGTTGGCTTGGTTGGTTGTGTATTTGTGCAGATGCATGCTATGTTGAAGTTTAGAAATGCTGTGAGTCTCAGACTCTTCCTTAAATCATGTAAAACCCATCATCAGGAGCCCGAGCGTCTCGGTCAGCAGAGGACGGTCGGGTGTTAGAGTCCGGGCCACACTGAGGGCGTGAGCGGCGCGTGGCGGCTGCGTCGCTGATCTGCTGCGTCACACAGGGAGCGCGTCTGCTGCGGAGCTGCTACATAAGGTTACTGGTATCACTACTGTGTTTTCTTAAAAGTACTGCGTTATACTGGAGTAAACGGCAGGACTCTACGGTATGAAGCTGTGCAGCTTCTGGTCCTGCAATAACAATACAAATCTTAAAACGCTGGAGTGCTTTTACTTTGAAACAGGAACAGGAAGTGCTACAATTGTTGGTGGCGTATTTGACACATGATTTTTATTGTTGCTGTGAACCGAGCGCGGTGCACTCCGACTCCAGAAGAGCAGCGCGGCTCAGTTTAGCTTGAACCTGATAATAAAAGACATTCTGCGGCGCACACGCGACGCCCACGCAGCCAGTGTGGCCCGGGGCGTAACGAACACGTCAAAACATTTCAAAACACCACAGTGACACATGAACGTTAGCAGCTATCGCCTTCCTCCTGGAGATCTTAAAAACCTTTAAGAAGCGCAGGAACAAGCGGAGGATGAATGAGAGAATCTGAACTTTGAAGCGCTGAGTGATGAACAGAGAGAGAGAGCAACTCGAAGCAAAGCACTGTGGGTAAAAGAATATAAAAGTGAGAGGGCCGCGGCCACAGAGAGAAATCACACGCCTCTCCGCGGAGGAGGAGGGACTTAGACAGAGGGGCGTCGAGCAGTGAGAGAGACGACAGGGCGTCAGGAAAGTTGCGGACTAATTAAGAAGAATCGATCCTGTACGTGGGACCGTGGCGGAACTTTGTCAGGGAGGGAGCTCATAGGGTTTAGTCCCTTTTTTTAAATGACGGGTCGGCCATGATTAAAGCAGCGCGAGTTCTCCTCATTCTCCTCCGTCCTTCATCCTCGACTCACTGTGTTCATCACTGACGCCACGAAACACTCACTTTCACACAGTCCAACTAAAAACACCACAACTTGGAATAAAAAAGAAAAATGATATAACTGAACAGGAGCTTCCCGTGTCGTTATTTTTAAAGATCTTCACTGTGACTTGTTTCTCTTGGATTTCTCTTCAAGTGAATCAGCAGCTCGAACAGAACGAGTCACCGTGTGTGGCTGCAGAGGGCGCTGTTGCTCACTAACGGTTCCATGGTGTTAAATTGTAATAACAGGAGAAAGAGACAAAACAAATGTAGAGACGTGGACAATCAGGTTCTCTGCTGACTGACGAGTTCAGGATCTAAGCAAAACACGTCTGACCTTTCACCCCCGTCCTGACCTCACGTGTCAGGCTCGTCCTCGGGCTCCAAGCTGAGGTGGGAGGGGAAGTCCAGGCCTTTCTCCTGGGCGTGGCGAATCCAGCGCTCCTCGTCCCCCCGGTGCGTCAGGTACCTGCAGCCCATCCTCTGCTCGAACACCCGGAGGTCGCACCACAGCTGGAAGTCCTGCAGGAGAGAGAGAGAGAGGAGGACGTACAAATCATCCAGTCAGATCAACGGGAAACTTTAATGTCATCTTTCAGTATCGTTCTGAAAAACACACATGGAACATAGAGACACAGAGACATCCAGAAGATTTAAACTAATCAGTTGATTCAGGGAATGAGTTCTTCAAAGGGACCGACCTGCAGCCAGGGGTGTCCCAGAGCTCTGCCCACACTGAACCTCTGTCTGAGCGACACCCGCAGCAGGTTGTTGATGAGACTCACAGCTGGACAGAGACACAGACACATTCATTTATCTCAACTTGTTTCAATGCACAGAGACCAGAATTCTTAATATCTCACTGAACAAGTACGAAGCTTTATTATTATTAAAGAGCTCGAAGGAGAAAACCAGAAAACTGGAACAGTCCCCTTATTTAGCAACATTACCCCCCCCCCCCAACAAAACCTCACAGGAAGTAGTTTTTGTGTCGACCTGCTAACAAACATAAAAACATTTCAGTCTCTCAGAAAATGAAATGTGTTTTTTTGAATATGAATTAAAAGTTAGATTTCTGTTACACGAAACATTTTAAACTGAGAATCTGGATGAAATGAAACTTAAAGTTTTTCACACGACCCCCGTTTCAAACATCATGATGCATTCAAGGACACGGACATCTAACGACTCTGATTAGCAGTTGTCATCAGAAGACATGAACCATGTTAGATTCATATTTCATGTCAGAGTGTCCTCGAAAAAATAACTTCATAATCAAGTCGTTACCCTCCAGTGAGATGGAGGACCACGGTTGCCGTGGATACATGAAGGAGGCGTTGGTGATCTGCTGTTTGATGTCCTCGTCCTCGTTGAAGGGGAACGTCCCGCTCAGGCTCACGTACATGATGACGCCCACTGACCACATGTCCAGCGAGCGGTTGTAGCCGCTGCTGCTGATGACCTCGGGCGCCAGGTAGGCCGGCGTCCCCACCACCGTGCGGCGGAAGGACTTCTCGCTGATGATGCGGGCGAAGCCGAAGTCGCACAGCTTCACCTGCAGACCCACAGTCAGAGTGGGTTCAGTGAGACACACGGACGACTGCAGCGTCCGTGGTGAATGAAAAGATAAAGTCCCACCTGAGGGAGGGGCTCCGCTGAGGCCAGGAGAACGTTCTCAGGTTTGAGGTCACAGTGAGCGATGTGCTTCAAGTGCAGATAACGCAGGGCCTCAAGGATCTGCCGGAGAAAACATGCTGGTTGACTCATGTAAGCAGGAGGAACATTTCAGATTTCATTTAATCTCAGTGGAATCAAGGTCGACGCGATATTAAAACCAAAACAGACCAAGATGGATCTAAATACCTGGATGACCAGGAAGCGAGTGTTGCGTTCAGGGAGTCGTCCTTTCTCATTGGACAGAATCATCTCCAGCATGTCTCCGTGGAGCTTCTCCATGACGACAAAGACATGCTGGACGGTCTCGAACATCCCCTCCAACAGAACCACACCGTTGTGCGACAGATTCTGGTCAAACACACACACACATCTTACAAACCGGTCCAATAAGAATCAGCTCCACACAAAGAGGACGTCTCCGTACCTGCAGAATGGAAACTTCATTCCTCAGCTGCGTCTCTTGTTTGGTGGGAAAACGAGTCTTGTCGATGACTTTGATGGCGACGGGTCGACCTGACTTCCTGTGAGTACCTGAAGAGCGAGAGAGGATGATGAAGGTTTATTTAAACAGAAAATGCTTCACTGAGGTTAAGAGACTTTACTTTCACTCCACTTTTCAAATAGAGGCCTGGGTTTCAACATGTGTTTAATCTCAGCAACAGTT